GTAACTATATGGTACATGGTAGGCATTGTGTTGAATGAATGAAATTTGTAATACAAAGATCTTTTAAATTTAAATAGGCTTCGTTATTCTAAATCTGTAAAATGGGGATAATAATTAACTATTTAAATAACTAATTAACTTTCCTTATAGAAATGTTAGGAGGCAAGAATAGTATAAGAATGGGTTTTATAATGTTTAAAGTATAACTGTAAGACATGATTGTGAATATGAATTATGAGTGTAAGGAATATTTTTTTTAAACTAACTATTTATTGGAACAAGATGTTAATCTCAAAAACAAGCAGAATGTGTCTGCTTAGGTGAAGCAGAGAGTAGACCTAAGGACTACAGAAAATCTGGTGAAACTGCACACTACTGCAAGCTCAGCTCCCTTTTCCTTGTTTTCAGAGTATTCATTGTAGTCCTTGGTGGTGGTGGTGTTCATAATGGTCCTCGACCATACACTTGAGCTGTTCCCTTCAGGGACCTCAGTTACTCCGTGGGAGGACATTAGATACCTGGGAGTTTACCCACTCTGTGATCATGATCATTCTTTCATACTGAAGGAAATACATGAAATTCCAGAAAATATTAGATCTCTAACACAAAAACAAAATGCCTTCAAACATTTTTTTAATGTGTATGTGTGTTTTTAGAAAGTGTGTGTTGGGGGAATGTAGGAATAGATTACATCCTTCTGTGGGTTTTAGAGTTATAAAGCCAGAAAGAGAAACTAGGAAAAGAGGGGCTATACTTAGGTGGGCCTTTAAAAACATTATAATGCAAATAGTAATTATTATGAAAGACAACCAGAATTTATTAAGTCTATATTGGGGGTAGAGATGGGGGGGAGGGTATTTTCAGCCAGACAATATCCTATTTTTTGCAAAGGAGTCATGAAATAATATGGCAAGTTTGGTGAACTGAGTTTACTTTAGCCTGGCTGTAGTATAGCAGAGATGTACGGAAACTTTGCATTAGAGCCATTTACAGTCTTTGGTCTTTTCACTTCTGCAGTCTGTGCTCTAAGAGGTTGGTGCTAAGGAAGTTTAAAAAAGCAAATACTCCAAGGCAATTGGGTAAGATAGACAGTCTACAAATAGACTCCTTTGGCATGTTTTCCCATCTTTGATGCAAAGATAGTGCTTTGTTTTCCAGTACTCTAAGATCTCCAGTATGGTATACAGTTTTCTTTTTAGCTTGGCTATCCATGGGTAGAGCTGGGGTCCTTTCCCATATTTACTTATAGCCTCATCTATTAGTGCTGGGCATTGGGGAGGACAGTTAAATGGGTCTGAGCAGCTTCCTTGATGCCAAGCAGTAAGGAGCTCCTTGAATCTAAAGGGGGCTATTATATGTTATCTGGCAGGAACGGCATATCACAAGAGATCAAGAGCCCACAAAGGAAAGTGAGAAGACTAATGAAGCCGATGTCCATCTTTCTCCACCTGCTCAAGGACAAACTGTAAGCTTTATGCCAAGATTACTCCTATTCCTGCAGATAATCCCACTGCTAATTATGGGATGTGATAGTTATGGTTATGGGGAAGAGCTAAATTGGAGGGGCTTAGAAAATGTTGCAACATAGACAGCTTTTAATTTATATAAACACTTTTTTGAAGTTTACTTCTTTAAGCTGAATTTAAGACTTATTCATTAATTCAATAAACATTTACTGAGT